CTATGCTACATCCCCAGCCATTTGCATTTTTTATTCTGAGACAAGGTCTTGCTAAATTGCTGAAACTGATCTTGAACTTGAGATCCTCCTACCTCAGCTTCCAGTGTTGCTAGGATCACAGGCATATGCCACTGTACCTGGCTACTCTAGACAGAAGTTTCTGCTTTTTAAAAATATGCTTCTTTATTGGAAACTTCTCACATCTGGTACAAATAAGATGATCTAGCTAAGGCAAAAACAGAGAAATGTATGTCATAAACAAAAATTCAGGCCAGCTTACTCACCACCCACCACCCAATTTGTTTGGAGACTCCTTCCAGCTCTCTTCAAACAATTCCAGTCTCTAAAGCAAAATTCAGTCTTAGTAAATAAATTTGTCAGTTTCCTAGAGCACTCAGTTCTATTTATTTAATGCTTTTTAGCAAATCTAGGGTCTGTAATGACCCAGGTGAGAACACATTCTTTTATTCTGAAGCTAAAAATGTAAGTGCATTTTGATTCTGTTCATGAAGTTACAATTACTTGGTTTTGCAACCATAAAAAAAAATTCTGTTGACTGCCAGCAGCTTGTTTAAAATCATGAATTCAGAATTATATGTTTCAACCTCTAAGATAGTGCCATTCAATAGAAATACAGTATGAGCCACAAATTTTATTTTTTGTGGTATGGGAGAGTAAACCCAGAGCACTCTACCATTAAGGTATTTCCTTGAGTCTTTTTTATTTTTTGAGACAGAGATGCCCTGGCTGGCCTTAAAATTATAAGTCTTTCTGCCTCCGGCTCCTGAGGAAGCTGTTATTACAGACATATGCCACCAGCACAAATATAATTTTAAATCTCCTAGTACTTTAGCAACATCTTTAAACAGTAAAAACAAATAAATGAAATTAATTTTTAAAAATATTTTATTTTTCCCAAGATACCCAATACATGATCATTTCAACTTGAAATCAATATAAAAATATTATTAAGGAGATATTTTAAATTATTCAAAAATACTGATCTTTACAATTGGGCATCTCTATTACACTTTCATTACATTTCAATTCAGACTGAGCATATTTTAAATGCTTACTAGCCACATTTGATTAGTGGCTGTCATTCTGAACATAAGTGCTCCAGAGAATCTCTAACCAAACATCCTATGGCTAAAGAAATTTCCCAAAGCAAACATGATGGTGCATAACCATGGCTCTGGCAGGTGAGTGTGGCTTGGGTGAAAGCACTGCTAGTCTAACTTTCTTAACAAACATTGTTCTCCAATGTAAAAACCAATTCTATATTTACATTTGGGAAACAAGAATGGATTTCAGCTAACAGGAAACATTCAGTATGTTGCCTGAGCTTCTGAGCTGAATTCTAAATATACATTTGCTCCCGGGGTTTATGGTGAGGCTTGACAAAAGGGGACAATCTCAAGAGATGTTCACTAAGATAAATGAGAAGCAATTACCAATTTTTAAAAACTTTTTGTTGTGAGGTAATTATAAATAGACATACAGATATAAGAAATAATACAGAGAGATCCCCTACATCCCCCAATGGTAACATCTTGTATCAGAACTACAATGTTGTTATGGATAAAGTTAGGCTATAGAACATTTCCATCCCTACCAGGTCCTTCACACCACCCTTTCATGGCCTACAATTAACTCCTAGCAACCAACTAGGTGTTCATTTTCATACTTCTGTGATTTCAGGAATGGTTTCAGGAAAGGTTTACAGTATGTAAACCTTTGTGATTGGTTTCTTTACTCAAGCACTATCTTTTAGAGATTCATCTAGATTGCATGTATCACTTTTCTTGTGGTAGCATTTACTTGTATGGTTGTATGACAAGTTTGCTTAACTACTTACAACAGATCATGTACAGTTGCATGCTTAATTTTCTATTGTTTTTTGAGGTACTAGGGATCAAACTTAGGGCCTCACAAATGCTAGGTAAGCACTTTATTGCTGAGCTACACCCCCAGCCTAGCATGTTTAATTTTTAAAGAAGCTGCCAGACTATCTTCTGTTTTTCATTCTCACTGTGCATAAATGACCCAGTTTTTCCTCACTCCCACCAGCATATTATGGTGTGAAACTTACTAAATTTCAGTCATTCTGATAGACTAATGGCGCTATCTCAAGTGGCCTTAATTACATCACCCAAATAGCTAATCATAAATGAGCCTTTTTGTGCTTATTTGCCATCTTATATCCTCTTAAGTTCATGTATTATGCCCATGTTCTAATTGTTTATTTTTTTACGGTTGCATTTTGAGAGTTCTATACATATTCCAGAAAATCTTCTTTGTCAGATATGTAATTGGCAAATATTTCCCCCTCTTTTCATCTTTAACAAGGTCTTTCACAGAGCAAATTTAATTTTAATGAATCCTAACTTGTCATTTTTTGCTTTTGTGGGTCATGGTTTTGGTATCAACTCTAAGAATTCTTTGTCTCTTTGTCTCACTCTATGTCCTAAAGATTTTCCCCTATGATTTTTTTCCTTAAAATTTTTAATTTGAATATACAATACATTTTGAATTGATTTTTTAAAATTTGTGTATTTTTTTATGTGGTGCTGAGGATCAAACCCTGTGCCTCACACATGCTAGGCAAGCATTCTGCCACTGAAGTAAAGCCCTAGCCCCATGAGTTAATTTTTTTAATAACATATAAGATTTAAGTTTGATTTTTGTTTGGTTTGGTTTGTTTTTTGTTGTGGTGGTTGGTTGGTTGTTTCCCCTATAGATGTCCAATTGCTTCAGCAAAATTTGTTGTAAAGGATGTCTTTCCTCTACTGAATTGCTTTTGTACCTTTTTCAAAAATCTATCAGGCATATTTATGTGGACCTATTTTTGGTTGTCTTATATCCTAATTATCTATGTTTGTCTCTCTGCCAACAAACACCACACAATCTTGCGTACTGTAGTAATAAAACTTTTCTTGAAATAAACTAGACTGACTCTTCTCAAAAGTCATTTAGTGACTGACTTGTCTTCAAAAGTGTTTTAGCTGTTCTCATTCATTTCCCTTTCCATGTAATTTTTAGAATAATCGTCTTCATATCTGTACAAAGAGTCTTTCTGGGATTTTGATAAGAATTATGTTAAATGTATACTTCAGTTTAGAAAGAATTGATATGTTAAACCACGATGCAAAGAAAATACCACTGACTCCAATTTTAAATCAAATTAAAGCAAGCTTGTAATTCTGACTAGCTGGGACTGTCCCTCTCCCAAAATCCGTGGGATAGAAGACAGTACTCCAGCTCTCTAGGAGTRCAGCTTTATAGCACAGAAAGTTGCAAAAAGGGAGGTGTCTTGAGAACTTCAGATAACAGGATTTTGACAAGCATAATACAAAGGCAGGTAGGTAGTAGGTTAATGGTCTAAATGGTTCAGTACTTAGGGAGTAAATTTAGATCCCAACATCAGAATTTGTGAGGCACCATTAGGGTTTCAGAGAGGGTTGTTATCTGGTCAGGGAAAGCCAGAATTTATGAGGTGCCACTAAGGTTTCAGAGAGGGTTGTTATCTGGTTAGGGAAAGCCAGGCATGGGTGAGTTCAAGGCATGGGCAGGCATTCCAAACAAGTTTAAAACATCAAAATACAGCCAGGCCAAATAGAAATCCTAATATTTTACAGAAAACAGAAAACAGAAATGAATCTTTTATAACTTTTGACAAGATGGCTCCTGACTTAAGAGGGAATTAGACTGGGCTTATCAGATACTTTACTATGTTGTATTTTTATTCCATGAACATGGTGTGTCTCTCCATTTATTTAGCTTTTCTTTGGTCTCTTTTATCATCTCTGTGTAGCTTTCAGCATACAGATCCTATGCACGTCCTTTTACAAAGTCACACATCACAGAACAATGTTTTAGTCAATGATGGATTGCAGGGGCTGGGGATGTGGCTCAAGCGGTAGCGCGCTTGCCTGGCATGCGTGCGGCCCAGGTTCGATCCTCAGCACCACATACCAACAAAGATGTTGTGTCTGCCGAGAACTAAAAAATAAATATTAAAGATTCTCTCTCTCTCTCTCTCCCTCTCTCTCTCTCTCTCCTCTCTCACTCTCTTAAAAAAAAAAATGATGGATTGCATATACATGGTGGTCCCATATCACCTAGTGATGTCATAGCTGTTTTCGTTTTTGTAGGTACACTCTATGATGTTTACACAATTAAAAAATCACCTAAGAACACATTTCCTAGAATGTATGCCACAACTATGCCTAACTTTACTTACATATAGAGCAGTACTTAACTCTATTTACACATAAGTATTWTGGTTTTTGAGCAATTGAAAATGGTGTTGTATTTTTAATTTTTGTGTCTCTATATTTTTAATATACACACATATACATACATATATATTATATATATGCAGTTGATTTATGTATGTCTATCTTGTATCCTATGATCTTGAAATAACATAAATTCTAGAAAATTTTTTTGTAGATTGCTTGGGAGTTTTGAGGACAGGCAGAACTGGTAGATTCAAAAAAGATCTGGTGATATGGTTCAGTGGCTAAGTTCTCCTGGGTACAATCCACAATACAAAATAAATAAATAAAATAAAATTATGAAATTTAAAAAAGAGTGCTGCTGAATTATCCCCTTGCTGGGAATTATCTACTTTGACCATGGCCAACTCTACCACCAAATATCTAGTCAGGTTTCCATGAGAACATGTAATCTGCATTCAGGAGGGCCATTCAGGAGTAGTTTGGAAATAAACTGCCCAGTTCAGCCATCTTAAGCATAAAGATATCCAAAATAAAAGATTTTTCGGAACCAATAAAGTTTATTTTAAATTTTTCAATTTTAACTAGTAGTCCACAGGTAAGTGGCTAGGTGGTGTATATCAAGCGAATGAACTCTTTCATTTTGAAATATATAGAAACATCATTGGCCTAGAAATTGTTTTCTTCAAACTATAAAGCTGTGTTACATGTGATCTTCAGATACCAGCTTATCTTCTCCTTCCTTTTGCTCCCCTACAGGAAGTTGTGGCTCACTGGATTGCTGAGAGCCGAATTGCCATCGAGGAGATCCGCTTGTTGACCTTGAAAGCCGCCCACAGCATAGATACTCTGGGCAGCACTGGTGCCAGAAAGGAGGTGAGGCTCCCTGGACCACTAACTGCAGAGACTTTTTCATTTTCTCCCACCCGTTGTGCATTTCAGGTTTTAAGACACTTCAGTGGCTCTCAAAATATTGGAAGCCTTCAGTAATTATGGTTTAAAGATTATAAATATCTATTATTTGCTAGTTTTCATAGGGCTGCTTTAAGGGATGATTTTGAGGGATGCAGAATATCTTCAGCTTTCTTGACATGCAGTAACAAGGAATGGGGAAATTCTAGGCTTTATATAGACCTGGAATTAATAGTACTCACTATGCCACTTTCTGCTAGCCTGTGACCATGGGCAAAGTAACTGATCTTTCTGCTTTGGCCCAGGGTTCTTGAGGAGAATAACCAAGATGATACATATAGAATGCACAGGACAATTCTGCCACATAGTAATGTTTCACAAAAGGCACCTCTTGCCACTGCCTTCCTTCTGGCTTATATGGGATAAGGACATGTCATTTATTTCTAAAAGCCCATAAAATCACTAAGAGAAAACTGAGTAGTGGAGTGATGACCCTTGAACTCTTTTTATGACCCCAAACATGATGAGTATAATTTATGAGCTGCCTGAAATCCTTTTGGAAATGAGGCAAGTTATAAATAAATGAAAAAAACGTGACTTGGAAAGAGACAGCTCTTTCCAGAAGGTCTGCATTGACTGAAATATGGCCACTAACTACATTATAACAAATCTCATTGTTGGCTTTCACCAAAGATGTTGTTTTAGTGGTGATTTGCTGTGGGAAATTTTCCTTATTTCAATTCACAGAGGAAAATACAGATTTTATCAAATTCTGGCTCTGTGTGTATGTTCTAAAAAAGCATTCTTGCATATCTTGCTATTGTAGATTGCAATGATCAAAGTGGCTGCCCCACGGGTCGTCTGCAGGATCATTGACCGAGCCATCCAAGTGTGTGGAGGTGCAGGCGTCTCTCAGGATTTCCCTCTGGCTAACATGTGAGTGGATATAGAATATTTAATTAAAAATATACCAAAACCTTGACACTAATTGTTTAGGAAGAAAATAAAGATACTTACTTTAAAGCATAACTGAAGGCTTAATGAAGTGATACTGTAACTTTTAATATAGACCTCACCACCAAGAAATATTTGACTCATAGTTACAATCATCAGCTCATTCTGACATGTTAAATTTCACACCAAGAGGACCCACTAAGGACTCCTGGCATACACACATAGAATGGAGATCTACCCAGAAATACGAAGGTGGGGAGTACCAGAGAGAGCGAAACAGCCGAGAGCCAACTCTATGTGTATGGGACAAGTCACCAGCCACACAGGGAACCAGCAGCTGCACTTGCAGCAGAGAATGCCAGTGGCCATGAAATAGCCAGATTCTCATTACAAGGAGGCTAGAAGAAGCATTCTCCATCCACTATCTGTCCCCACACATGGCCACAGTGCAACTGGTCTATCGCACTGGAAGTAGGATCTCACCTTCCATGGATTTTTAGCCTTAAGAAAGAACAAAACATATGCTGTAATACCATTTGCTACCTGTATCTTACTTAAGACACCTCTTAGCTCTTCCAAGTTCTGGTAACATGTGGCAAACCAAGAATGAGATTAACCCCACTGGTTCAAGCCCACAATCTGCATGGGGAAAGGAGGTGGCAGGAACTACAGCACCCTCTCTGTGGTCTTCACATCCAGTTCTGACAGCAGTGCATAGCCAGATGGCAGGGTAGCAACAGGAACCAACCACAGTGTTCCTCTTTGCCATTTTGGTGCAATGGTGGCTGAAGTCAGGTAAAATTCCTCTTGGTCCCTTTTTGCCATGCACACCTGGGTTTACGGTGGCTGCTGGATCCATGACTTTTTCACAAGTCCTTTATCTACAGTGCACATGTGAGGGCAAGGCAATGGCTGGACCCACTCTTGCCCAAGGCCCCTCAGCTCATCCCTGTGGTCAGGGCAGTCGCAGGAACTATAGTTTTCCCTCCTTGCTCTATCAGTAGCAGGTGAAACTGGCCCAGGTAGAGGGCATCAGCAAACTGCATGGGCATCTGCCTTAAGTCCTGGAATGGTGTGAGCCTCCCAGCAGCTGGCCATACCCTTGGACTCAGAGGGCAAGTGCCTCCAGCCTGTAGTTCTCAAGGGCACCAACCTCCACTCTCCCCATTTTGCAACACCAGTCCCCTGCAGAGCAGGGCAGCTCTCAGGCTTTGTCACTGTCACTCTGCTGCACCAAGCTGGGGGTTAATGAAGCAACTACCTTCTGAGCCAGTGCAGTGGAACGTCTGTAGGCTCCCAGGGTGGGCATGTGTAGGTTTCTGAATCCTAGATCAGTCCAAATTCAGACCACAGCTCCCTTCTCAAGATGGCTCCTGGCCACAGCACCGTGTGAGTTCACTAGGAGACGATGTGAAATCCTTTCCAAAGCAAGGCCACTGTGCAGATTTCAGCTTACCTATCTAAGTGGGCTTCAAGCCTGTGAGGTTATGAGCCTTTCTAGTAGCTAGGATTGCCAGCGTCCTCATTAATAGAGTGTGCTGGAATTCTTCCTTTCACCCTGACCCTGCAGAGTCAGGATGGTAGATACGGGGTTTTTCGCTTTTATCCCAGGTCTCTACATTTCCTAAGGTTCCATTTTCTCTTTGCCAATCTCTAGTGGTCTCTCAAAATCACTCGCCTCAAAATGCACTTGTTCACCTGTTGCTAGAGTTCTCTGTAGAGAAGTGAGTGAGTACTGCCACCTCTATTTAGCCATCTTGAATCCTCCCAAGTTAGGAACTTTAAAATAGCATCTTGGAAGTCCTTTGGCTTACTCCCTTCATTTTAATTGCATTCCTTTTCTTATTCCTGCTGTATTGGAATTAATCTTGGTTTAGAATTATTATTTCATTAAATTATAATGTTCCTCTTTGACACCTCCCACAAATCTCTGCTCTTTTGTTTTTATCAGGTATGCGTTAACACGAACTCTGCGCCTAGCAGATGGACCCGATGAAGTGCACCTCTCAGCAATTGCCAAGATGGAGCTACAGGACCAAGCTAAAGCGCTGAGAGCCAAGATGTGAGGAAGGCAACACCACTCTATCCCCAGGGTAGACGCATTCCTTAATCAGCTCCAATGTTTGATTGAGTCTCACATTTTTGTAACAGATTGAGAACAGGGTTAGTTTTCACTTGTGGTAAAGATTTTAGCCTCTATTTTGATCAGTGGGTTTTATAATTTCAAGGGTCACACAGATATAAGTTGGAAAATCTGTAGCTGTTCTTAGGTCTAGTAACTAAGTGGTTTAGTATTTGCTTTTAAGTGCAACTTATAATGAGATCATAAAATAATGGAGAATTATTTCTAAAACATTTCCTGTGTGGCATAAAAATGGTTTGATGTTTTGAATTTTAGGAATTAATATAAGTAAATAACTTCAATAATATTTCATCCTGCTTTTAAAAACATATAGTTGGATCTCTTTTAAACACTATTTTTAGAGGGGTTAGTTTGAAATCGTGCCATAAAGTTTGCACATGGCTATATGGGTTGTTTAGAATCCATGCAATTCTAACTTCTTCATAATATAGCCTGGAGCACTTGTCTTCCATCTGAATGCAGCTGATAGTTTACAAGAAAACACGGCAAATTTTGAGAAAATATAACTAAGAACCATTTTACTTGCTTATAAGTTAATGAGAACAGTGGACAGATTGAGCTGTAAGAAAGTTCTTCTGTTTTGTTAAGAGGCTAAAGACAGTCTGCTCTGAGTGGCCCATTAATTTTAGGAATTAATATAAGTAATAATATAAGTAATGCAGCCTGTGCAGACATCCTTGTGGCAGTTACGTCAGCTGTCACACACAGTATAGTTGTCGGCCATGTGTGACTTCTGAGCACCCTAAATGTAGCTAATGAAACTGAGGAACCCCCAGGCACAGTGGTGCACACCTACAATCCCAGCTGCTCAGGAGGCTGAGGCAGGAGGATTGCAAGTTCAAAGCCAGCTTCAGCCATGGTAAGGCCCCAAGCAACTCAGTGAGACCCTGTCTCTAAATAATACACAAAATAGGGCTGGGGATGTGGCTCAGTGGCTGAGTGCCCCTGAGTTCAATACCTGGTACCAAAAGGAAAAAGAAACTGAGGAACTGAATTGTTAATTAAAAAAAAATAAATTTAGTTATTAGGGGAAAACTTTTAAGTGTGCTTAGAATGACTTGATTATGTGAATCTACTTTTTCAACTGTAAATTTAATGAAATATTAATACAGAGAAAGTATTTTGAATCAAAATTTGGCATCCAAATAAGAAAACAGAGTAAGTGTAAAATGTACATCAGATTTTGAAAACTTAGTTTGAAAAACATCTCAATACCTTTTTATATTGATTACATATCAAAATAATAACTTGGAAATATTGAGTTCAATAAAATATATTATTAAAAATCATTTCACCTGTTTCTCATTACATTTTTGTGTGAATATCATTGCAATAGTAACTGATCAAGTTTTAAATTTTCAAATAAAAGGTTTTTCCCCTAAAACCTTTTAAGTTTGTTTTATCAGAACACATATACATCCCATGAATTTAATGATGTCCTTAGATGCTTTCCATCATGATTTAAATTTCTCCTTGGGTGAGTGTGGAGGTGCAGGAATTTGACCAGCCCTGGGCTGGGGTCCCCTGTGTGTGGTGAGGTCCTCTGCAACATCTGCCCTCTTACCCTCTGCAGAGCTCATTTTCTTTCTCCATTTTGAGATGAAGTTTTTAATCCTAGCGGACCCTCACCTACCAAGGGCCTATTGTGAGAATCACTGAAGCCATATAGAACATCTGGAAATTAGTTAACATAATACTACTTTATACGGTCTCCTTATTTGATGTGGAGCAAATCCTGTAACCTTATTACTAATTTGCAAAGTTGTAATTTAGAAGAAATCAGGATTTTTTTGAATAATTGGCTTTAAAGATTATGCCCAAGTCTAGTAATCTTGTAATTTTCTCTCTTTAAACAAAGCTGGCTAAATTAGTTATTTGTTTCAGTTACCGACTGTCTTGTACATACCACAATCTAAGGCAGATCACTTTGTGTCATCAATACTTACCTCTTTCCCTACCTTTATTTATTTAGATAAAATCATGTTTAAAAGAACAGTATGTTTTGTTTTGTTTTTGAAAGGGGAAAAAAGTCTCCAAATTATAAAAATGAAGAGAACAAGGGTCCCTTTGCCCTGGTCATTGTGGGGAGAGTGTACTGACTAGAATCTTGTGAGCCTCAGTCCATTTCTAGGGCTCTGTCTCTGCAGGCTGTTGCCAGGAGTCACTGAGCAACAGTCCTCTTAGGGACTGTTGTGCTGGCTTTGCCACATGTTAGGAACCACATGGTTTTAAAATGAGAAGTTTTTGCAGGAAGAGAGGAGGGAGAATGGGCTTCCCAGTCAGGGCTTCCCCCATCAAGATCCCTCCAAGATTTCCCGTGTGGCTGGTGGCAGGAGAGGAGGAGCCTCCAGACTGCCAGGCAGGGAAGATACAAGAGGCACCACACAAAAAGGTCATGGTCTTTACTTCTGCAAAACAGTTAGGATGCACGAAGGGTGAGGGTGATTGTGCAGGGGAGTAGCCATCAAGGGATCCCCAATATTTGAAGTTTTTAACTTTGAGAAGGCACAACTATGGAGGAAGTGGTTTCCTCATCCACCTGTGGCTATCTATAAAGGCCTCCTGGGGGTGGGTCCCCAGCATCCCAGCTGTTCCCATACAGCTGTGGTCCACACTTCAAAGATGCTTACACATTGTTGAAGAGAATGATAGTGGGGGACAAGCAGCCAAGTCCAAAGTGGCAGGTAGATCTTTGAACAGAGAAGTTGTAAACTCACCTCTCACCAGCAATGACACATGCAGATTGAAAGGGAGAAGGGTGGAGGATGATACTGCATGCCAATGGAATCCAGTAAGTGGCACAAGGCTTGCCAAAACCCACTTTTCTCCTTGTTCTTGAATCAAGATTTAACAGTCTCTGAAAAAGTCAGAGGAAAGACACTTTTTTTTTAACTCAGACTTCCTACGGAATTCTTAAAGAATATTATCAAAAGAAATTATTTGTGAAAACGTCTACTATGAAAAAATATCCTATTTCTCCAGCCTTCTTCTTCTTCTTTTTTTTTTTTTTTTTTTTTTTTGGTCTTTGGCCTGCACTATAGCAGTAGGCCCAACTGGACTTCTGGTCTGTTTTCACAGCAGAACTGCCAGCTGCAACAAGCCTCTTGTGTTTCTGCAGCTTTTATCTCAGAATAAATTAACAGTCCTTGCTTTGGTTCCATCTGAGCTTATCCCCTGACAGCTCTTTGATCTCCCCAATATGGCCCACTTCATCATGGTCCCCTGGCTGCTGTTCTAGCACACAAACATAGCCAGGCCTGGAGCCTCGTTCTGACTCTCCCCTCCTGAAGGTTTCCAGACGCCTGCTCAAGAGCCACCTCAGAGTGTCCTTTCTTGACCACTGTTCTGATCATATTTCACATGCTGTCATTCTCCGCCTCCTTACCTGCCTTTCTGTTCTCACAGCACACACTACCTTGCACATATCTATCTACTCATGGTCTCTYTTCTCACCAGAGCGTAAGGCCCTTTCAAATTTCACTTCCGTCACTTTTCTGTGCACTAATGTCTCCTTGATCCCTGAAACCGTGCCTGACATCTTCACTCTTTACTCATGCTCATTTTGGGGGGGTGAAGATATGCAGAGAAAAGTTTGCTTCACAGAGCTGGCTGAAGCATTTAAAAAAAGAATGAAGGAACGTGTGAAAGAGTGATCATGCATGCTCTGCTGGTCCCTGGTTTGTAACACAGCAATGGTGAGAGGCAAAGCATCCATTTATAAACCCCCAAAGAGCCAAAGCTTGATCCCTGGCATGTGAACACAGGTTGGGCAGCAGACCTGGAATGGATCAGCCGCTGGAGGAAAACTAAGTCTAAGGAGGAGCATCAGTGCCTAGAGTGGGGGTGCCCAGCAGTTTGAACAAGTCTACCGGTAAAATAGAAGTTCAATGAGTATTTAACAATCCAGGAGAATATGGATTGTTCAATACTCATTGAATATTAAATATTAAAATATTATATTTAATTAATATTTGATATAAAAATATTAAAAATATTTAATATTTAAAATATTAAATATTTTATCCTGATGTCTAATCAGCCAGAGGGCTGTGATCTGCTCTAGGCACAGAGGGAAGTCAGGACACCTAAGAGAAACAGAACCACTTCTGGTGATTGTTAGAATTTTCCAATTTTCCTAATAAGCAGAATTCTGGGAAGTGTCCTCCCTTAATTCAGGGTGGACAAAAAGCATTTAGGATTTATGATCCTACCATAATATTTTTATTTGTTCCTTTTTTTCAGCACCTCTTTCTCACACAACCGTGTGTGTATGTGTGTGTGTGTGTGTGTGTGTGTGTGTGTGTGTGCTCACTCGGGGGACGCCCTAAATAAGCACTGGCCAAATGGAGAATAGCTACACAGGCAGGCAGTGCTGCCCAGCCTCCTGCACCCTTGGGTTGATGACTCACCCTGGATGATTCTCTTTCACGTTTTAAAAATGGTGAAAGTGGAGACTGCAGACACTCCTCCCTCCACCAGCCTTCTCCCTCTGCCTTTAATCTCCGCTGCTCTTTTTCCTTACACTCCACACCAGCTGACTGTCCAGCTAGTCCTCCAATATCCCAGGTGTTTTTCTTGTTGGAAATAAGGAGGTGCCACAAGAAATCAAACACCTGCTTGAACATGGGTGGGCAAGGGCTGGGTGATGCTGGCTCAGTGGCAGAGCACTCACCTAGCATGTGTGAAGCACTGAGTACGATCCTCAGCACCACATTTAAAAAGAAAGTAAGTGAAAAAAAAAAGTGGGGCTGGGGTTGTGGCTCAGCGGTAGAGCACTCCTCTTGCAAGTGCGGGATCCTGGGTTCGATCATCAGCACCACATAAAAAAAATAAATAAGTGAAATAAAGGCATTGTGTCCAACTACAACTAAAAAATAAATATTTWAAAAAAGTGGGTGGGCAAAGCAAACCTTTACTTCTGGCAGAAGGGCACACTAGCAAGCGCACCTGGGCAGGCAGCCCACCTGCTTAAACCTCTACCCTAACCCAGCGCTGCCCTTCCCTCTGATTGGAGAAGTTTGGGGTTACAATCTATGCAATTGGCTAATTTTAGAATTAGGGTGGGCAAAAGGCAAAGGCTACAATTGGATCCAATGAAAGGTAAATACTATATTCTGAAAAATGGACCACCAGCTTTTTTATTTCTCACATTTGTTACCTTGGGGTCTTTGCAGAGGCGTTTATTTACCTAGAAAGCTCTCTGCACCCCCTTCCCTATCTTTAAGGCTTACTCCTTTCCTGCCAATGTAACTCTCTAGGGATTCCTTCTGTGACCATCCACCAGCTAAATTTCAAACCCTCTTAACACCCACACATAGACCTC